CCAGTCGCTAACATTGAAAAAGGATAGAACGTGAACTAGTTCGGCTGAAACGCAAACCGGTAGAATTCTAGTTCACAACTAGTAGCTTTCCCTGCAGGGTACATATGTGCATAAGTCCCTTTAAATGCTTCCTTTTCTTTGGCGGTAAAGATGTTTATCGGTTTGTGTCGGAACCAATTGGTTTAAATGACTTTTACTATTCATATGCATGTACATACATATGTATGTATGTATGTATATGGTGCCGGTGCGATTCGGGTCGACAGCACTTAGGTATGTACATATGTATGTATAACCTTTTCCAGCATCAAAGAGAAGAAGATCCCTTTACAATTTGGACAGCGCTGATTATTTATGCTTTTAAATCGACAATAAGGTAGTAAGTGTCCCAGGATTTAACGCAGTCTGAAAATCTGGTCAATGGTGGACTACCAGGCCTGAAGCCTGACGTGATGCGTCGTTAGACTGCCGCCATCTAAAAATATATGTGAAATGTTCTTTTCTAACAGTGGTCGCCCCTCGTACTCTTGCCAACAACTGCTACTTTGGACTGAGTGGACAATTAAGGAGTAAAGTCCTCTCTCGACGTACGAAAACCATACTCTATAAGTGCCTCATCAGGCCCATGTTGGTATATGGCGCAGAAGCATGGACAATGACAACATCCGATTAGGCGGCTCTTAAAATCTAAAAATATACCTAAGATATTTTTGTTTGTTTGTACCTAATTAATGAAAACGATCTCGAATATGTGATTATATATGTATGTATTTAATTTTTGTTAATTTGTAACAACGCAAGTACGCACACATCTCTGGGAGGTAAACACTCACACTCAGAAATAATACACTCGGAACAGATTCGCACCGACAGAATCGCATAGGTGTGTGGATACCTTAAATCGCACAAAAAATTCAAAAAACGTACTCCTTCTTTATGTTGGTACTTCTTTGTTTTCTATCGAAAATATAAATGTACTGCTTTCTCCGTTTCAGAATTCGGCAACCCTAGATAAATATGCTTTAATGTGAACTTCTTAATTTTTATTAGGCACAGTCTTCTATTATTTTATCAAAAAATTTAACACGTAAGTGTTTACTAAAGCTTCCAACTAAATGGAAGATAATAGTACATACCGTCTATATTTATTCTTCATTTCATTATGGATAACTTTTATTCCAGCCGGCACCCAGTTATCCATTAAAAATCGGCATTTATTTAAAATTTAGAGGCCTTTTACCAAATTAATGTAAAAGTCGATATCAGTCTTATTTATTGTTAACAGATGGTTGTAACTATTAGCTTAGAGTAAATAAGCGCCCTCAGTTATTGAAATATCGGAGTTTTCGTATTTCTGAAACATACCGTTATACGGGCAGCGGGTGCAATTTTAGTCTGATTTGAATAGTTTTTCACGAATTTCTTTCCCGTACCAAGGTTATTAAGTGTGCCGAGTTTGGAAGAAATTGATAAATCGGTTACCGAGATACACATTTGTGGTCATAAGTGGGCCGAGCCACGCCCATTATCCAAAAATTTATAATAATTTTATGCTAAGTGGTGATTGCAGTAATCGATTTTAAGTGAATTAGCCTTATTAGTGCGAGAACTTAAAACAATTCAAATATATGCGATTTATGGGAACAAATTGCATTAGTGGTATTCATCTAAACCAGAGAGCAGCTTTAGGTATGATCGAGCCTTTTTTATCACCCTCACTAAAAATCGAGCACAAGCGAACGCCACACTCGGCTACTAAGTGTTCGATCGAGATGCACACCCGACAGCTGCTTTGAGTACGAACGAGTCTGTTCGATCACCCTCGCTATAAATTGAGCACAAGCGAACACCAAGAATGATAGAATACAAGATTGCGCCGATCAGAGAGAATTTTTGAGAATAACTTTTGTGTGACGTCACACTGGTGCAATTGCGAGAGAGAAATGCCAAAACGTGAGCAAGAATGGAAGAAGAAGAAAAAATGTTGCAAGGAAAACGTAAACAAGTTGCACCAGTGTGACGTCATGCAAACAACGATTATGTCAAATTCGTTAAGAGAGGAATAGCGGTCCGAGATCGGCGCAACCTTTGTATTCTCTCAATCGTGAGAAGAGCTAACAGACTTATCGAATAAACACAATCCGAGGGTGGCAAGTTTTTGTATTGATTTAAAATGTATGATTATTTATTTAATAATAAGGATATAATACGAATTGTTTGAAAT